CCCGCCCCGCCCTCCCTTCATACCGGCTGCCGCGCCCCCGCGCCTCGCGGCCCCTTCGCCGCCAGCGGGCCCCAGTGGCGCCGCGCCTGCAGCGCCGCTGGCAGCTGCAAGAGGGGCAGCACCAGCGGCACCGGCAGCGGCAGCGCCAGCCGCTGATGAGGACGCTGACCTGGAGGCGCAGGCTGCGGCGCTGGAGGCGGAGGCGGCGCGCGAGGAGGAGGAGGAGCGCAAGAAGCGCGTGGCCGCAGCGTGGACGGCGCACAAGGCGCCCGACGGGCGTGTGTACTATTTCAACACTGAGACGCAGCAGTCGTCGTGGACGCGGCCAGAGGGGTTCAGGGGCGACGCGTCGGGCGTGGCGGGGCTGCCCGTGCCGGTCGCGCAGGCGACGATTGGCGACACCGGCTGGGTGGAGGTCAAGTGTGCAGACGGACGCAGGTGTGCCATGGTTTCCTGCGCGGTATTGAGGGCTGCTGGGGCTGGCGGTGGCTTTCCGCTGCTGGGTCGGCATCGTACCTGTCCCTGTCCCTCGCCCCCTCGGATCGCGTCAACCACTGGGACTGCAACACCTCCTTTGTCGCAGCAGCACCTCCCCTCCGCCTGTGTCCCTCGTATGTGTCTCCGAAGCGTCAGCTCCCCCCACCAATCTGCCACTCTCCCCACCACCCCGCAGGTACTGGTACCAGGCCAGGGGGGGCCAGCAGACGTCGTGGGCGGAGCCGCCTGAGGTCGCAGAGCACAAGCGGCGCGCTGACGCAGAATCCATGCACGTGAGTGTTGGTGGCGCGAACGCAGCCCCTTGCAAAGCCAGAGTGTTCAGTTGGGCCGTCCGCGCTCGCACGGCACGTCTGGAGGGAAGTCTTGGCGCGGATGAGGTGCTGCCAGCCGGCCCTCCTGCCCGCAATCGTGTAGTGTGAAGATCCACAGCAACCTTGCTTCGCACCTGCTGTGTCCTTGCTGTGCCGCCGGCAGGCCCTCAAGCGGATGCGGCAGCAGGCGGACGAGCAGCGTGCGGCGGCGCAGCGGCAGCTGGCGGGCACGCTGGGGGCGCTGGGTGCCGTTGGGGGGCCCGGCCAGGCCCCAACCGTGATTCCGGCTGCCGGCGGCGGCGGGATGATGGCGATGGCCAGCGCCGAGGCGCTGCGACGGATGCACATCCAGCAGGCCATGGCGGCGCGGCAGGCGGCAGGTGGGCAGCCGGGGCGGGGTCGAGCAGGTCCTGATTGGGCGGCGCCGCCATCATGACTCACTGGTGTGTTGGGCGGGGTGCAGCAGCTCTATCGCTCTCGCAGCGCAGGGGACAAGGTCGTCATGCCAGGTCTCACCCACTGGGATCAAAGCGCTCGTGCCGTGTCCCGTGTGTGCGACCCGCCCCGCAGGCGGGGGCCCAGGCGGGATGGGTGCGTCCAGCAAGGAGGCACGCGTGGCGGGATTCAAGGCGCTGCTGGCTGACGAGGGCGTCAATGCTTTCAGTTTCTGGGACAAGGTCCGCCCCAAGCTGGAGAAGGACGCCAGGTGACTGGCCTGCCACATGGCAGGGGGCCACTACCCGGTGCTGCCAATTGATCGTGGCGTTGAGGCGGCTTTGCGTATGAGGCGGGGAGACACGCCCGCTGTCACACTGCCGTACGGCGCCTTCGAGCAGCTGAGGCCCCAAGGCGCAGCCTCCGAAATGGCCATCCCACGGCTGCCCCCCCTTCCTCTTTGCAGGTGGCAGCTGCTGCCCAGCAACAAGGACCGGCGCGCCGTGTTTGAGGAGTTCTGCAAGAACGTCGCCGCAGAGGCCAAGGCGGCCCGCGCAGTGGCTGAGCGCGTCACCACTGACGGCTTTGCCGCCCTGCTGGAGGAAGCGGTCGCGCTCGAGCGCCGCGTGGCGGCGGAGATGGAGGCGGCGGCCGCAGCGGCGGAGGAGGAACGGCGCGCGGCCGTGGCCGAGGACGAGGAACGACGGCGCCGGCAGCAGGAGGAGGGGGAGGTTGGCGAGGCTGGCGACGGCAAGGGGGACGGCGCCAGCGCGGTTGCCGCCCCCGCTGGGACCGGCGAAGGGGACGTTGGTGCTGTTGGTGGTGTTGGTGCGGTGCGCCCTCCCCGCAGCCCCGGGTCCATCCCTGAGGACGAGCTCGAGGGCCTGGCCTACTCCAGCCTGGAGCGCTACTGGGGGGCGGACGAGCGCTGGGCGGCGCTGGAGGAGCCGCGGCGGCGCGACATGTTTGAGCGGAGATTCGGGGCGGCGGCCGCGGCGGCAGTAGAGCGCAAGAAGGTGTGCACATGCTGTTTTTGGGGGGCGAGAGGGGGGGGCCATCAAGGGAGTGGGCTGCGCTGCTGTTGGCCGATCAGGGGCTGGCATGTACTGTAATCTATTTACATCCTTCGTGTGCGGCAGGCTCCCCACCCTCGTGACCCCCCTGCCCCCCGTCGCGCCCACCCCGTGCAATCTGGCCACAGGCGGCCCAGCAGGCGCGCGTGGCGGCGTACCACCAGCTGCTGCGCTCCCTTGGGGTGGACGGCGACACTCGCTGGACGCCCATTGCGGCTGACGTGGCGGCGCACCCTGCGGGCGCGGCGCTGGGGCCTGAGGAGCGGGAGGAGCTGTTCCGGCGGTTCGTGGACGACCTGCGGGTAGGGGGCGGGGGTGGGAGGAGGTGGCGGTGGCGGGCTGAGGCGGTCGGTTGCAGTGGTTGCGTGAGCATGTGCGGGCCTTGAGTGAGTCTGGCTGGCGCATGACGGGTACATCCGGGCCCGGCTGAGGCCAGCATGGTTGGTGTGCTGTGCTGCAGACGCAGCTGAGGACCCTGAACGGTGGGAGGGCCCAGACAGCTTGCAGCTCGCGCTGCGCGCATTCTGACGCATGCCCCTGTCCCTCGCCCACCCACCAGGATCGCAAGCGGGCGCAGGAGGCAGCTGCAGCCGAGGAGGAGCGGCGGCAGGCCGACGCAGAGGCGCGCCTGGCAGCACAGGGGGAGGAGGCAGACAAGCGGCGGCGGCGCGCGGAGCACGGCACTGCTGGTGAGGTGGCGCCGCTCACTGCTTGTCGCCGGGTCATTTTTGAGGCTCCAACGTGGCTTCGACATTTCGGCGCTCGTGGATCATGGGTGTCTGGTTGAGCCCTGCCAACCCACTGTCTCCCCCCTGCGTGACACCTGTCAGCCCCTGCACGACAACCACTACCCCCCTGCGGCGCCCCGCTCTGCCGCCAGTTGCGTCGTACAAGACCTTGCTGGCAGAGCTGGTGCGCGACCCTGGCGCGCGCTACAGGGACTGGAGGGACAAGCTGGCGCGGGACTCGCAGGTGGGCCGACAGAGGGCCTGGGTGCGCAGGCTCCAGTTTTGTCGAGGGACATGGGTTTCGGGGCGTTATGCAGCTGCAGTCACGTGGCAAGGCATGGCGGCCCAGGATGCAGGCGGGCCGCCTGTCAGCAGCGGCTCACGACCGCCAGCGAGGGCTGTGGTGTCGTCCCGACACCCAGCCAGCCCATAACCCCAGAAGCGCCACTTTGCAGGCGCTGCTCGACGACCTGCTCCCTGCCCTTGCCCCTGCACATTCCCCTGCCCCTTTCCCCCTCGATCGCCCCCACCTTCCAGGGCCGCGCCTCCCATCCGGCGCTGCAGCCCCATGAGTATGAGGCGCTCTTCACCGACCACACGGCAGCCCTGGAGGACGCGGTCGTCGCCGCAGCGAAAGACGCCCTCGCACCCCTCCTGCTGCCCCTGCTGCCGCCCGCGCTCGTCGCCGCCGGGGAAGCCGCGCGCGCGGCCGCCAAGGCGGCTTCCGTGGGCACCCTGACCGCCATCCTGAGCAGCGGCGGCGTGATACCCAGCACGGGCGGGGCCGCGCCTGAGTGGCCGCGCGTGGAGGCGCGTGCCCTGGCGGGCCCCCTGAGGAGCTGCGAGGCCCTGCTGCGCGACGAGGGTGCGGCGGCGGCGCTGGAGGGCGACGGCCGCTGGGCGCGCGCCTCGGAAGGGGCCAGGTGGGAGGCGGGGTGGGGAGGAGGGGCCCGGGCAAGCAGGGGCCCGGG